ACAGCGATTGTTGCCGGTTTTTGGCCGTTTACCTTCGCTTTTCGGTAGTACCCTTGCTACTATTTTCGAGGAAGTACCAAATTATTGTGCCTCATCCCTTCAAATCGACATTCTGCACCGACGGTGGACATGGTCTGGAAACTCCCCATGGGCCGCCATCTGTTTACCGTCTCTGAGGGGTGGGGCACAAGCAGATAACGGTCATCTATCGCCGCCCATCCGGCGACGCTAGGTGCTTACAGTGCATATCTGAGAGCAACAACAGGCGCCACGGCAATGGCTGCGTATTCTCGTGCCGACTGTCTGTTATACACCGGTCTCGCACGCTCTTCCGTCTGTACCCTCGCACCCAGCTATGCCCTGCAATAGGGGCACCATTGGCTCCTATTACACCAGCTATGGTGCCCTACAATGTGCACTGTAGCTGATGTAATAGGACCAGTGGTGCCCCTATTGTTCGAGTCGAGTAGTGGTCCGATTTCTTTCGACCAACCCTCTGAGAAGAAATATGATCATTTAATTTTCAAGGAAATCAGTCCGTCGCGGAAAACGAAGTGTGGCCAGCCTACGAGCTCGTTTCCAACGCAAATTTTGTGGGCACTGCGTAGATAAAACAAATGAATCTAGTGAAAATTGTGAGCCGCTCGTAACCGTCGACAACATGGAGCAGGTAGTGGAACATGTTATTTCCAGGCAAGACTCGCCAAATGTTCAGCTTGTTTCAGGACCGTTTAATTCCACCGATGAGGCAGGGAATGTGCACGAGTGACGGTCCGCCTCCTCTTCCAGCGAATCCGCCACCGCTTCTTCCTGACGACTCTCCGTACCTATCTTCCAGCTTGAAAACGAAGACCGTGGCTTCATCCCCGATCACGCTAAAACTTCTCCATCCAGGTCCTCCGCCTCAGTCATCCCCTCAAAGCTATAACGAATCGGAAGCTTTCGCCTCAATGCGTCTCACATCGGAATCACCCGAGAGCCAGACTACCACCGTGCGAAAAGTGGCCCCATCGACGGCCACGACAAAGCCAACACAATCATCAACGCCAAAATTCAGCCCCAGTCCTGTTCTTGAGCCAACAATTATTCCCAAAAAGCCTCCGAGGGCCATGTCTTTGACTGCTGCGGAGCAGTCACCGAACCCAGCAAACGTCCCTCAAGGGATTCTCGTGAAACATTCAAAAAGGCCCAGTTCAGGTGCGACTATGCCGCCTGAGAAGTTTGACTATAAGGTGACATCCACCAAGAAGGCTGTGATTCAAGAGAGTGCTCCTTCAACACGTCGCCGCGACACGGTTCGCTTTTCGATCTCGTCAGATCTTTCTATGGAAGATTATGGCATGGACAGTACTCTCTCGGAGAGTACACAATCAGTGAGAATGGAGGATCTGCCTGCTGACACCACCCAACATTCGGAACATCAGGACCAAATCGACTCGCTTGTGGGGGAAGATGAAGATTGGTGGCAGCACTCACACGCGGCCTGAGTGATGGGCTCCAGTCAGAATATTTTATATTTTATTGTGGATAAGAAATTTCGGAACGTAAAGGCTGAGCTTTGACGACTAGAAATCTCGTTTTGCGTTCAGAAATAAACAGTTTTTATTGGACACAATAAGCAAACACAACAAATAAACACAACAAGTAAACATGTAGTACTTAATAACGGGAATAATATTCGGAAGATCAATAAATACAAACCATACAAAGCACATCAGAGAGGCGAGTTTTATAGACATGAAAAGGGGGTGCAGGTTTTAATCCCCCTCCTGGGAAAAAGGTGCTACGAGGCACGCCTTATGCGCGACATTCGCACCAGAACTTATACTCTAGTTCGCTGCGGATGAAGGGGCGTGTCGGACAGTATGAGTGTTCCGCGGCGCCAAACCCGTTCTCTGCCAGTTGTTGAAGCGTATGCGACATCAACAATCGGCTTCTAGAAATTGCGAAATGATTACGAACTATATGTACAGGCCCTATCACTTGCCTCCGTTTCAAACACTGGTGTGCAACAGTCGTCAAAGTCAAGTACATATCAAACAATCTAAGACAATCAACGTCTCAAATCAGACATAAGTCTCCAAACACCCCTGCGAACACGCCCCGCTGTCCGTGCGCAGCGATGAACCAACTAGAGTTCATTGCCATAATCAAGAGAGCGCGGGTATGGGAAAGCAACTAGACAAGAGCTCTACTGTTGCTTCTGCGGGCCCCGTAACAGGAGAGCCCTAACCTACACTCTAGTTCGCCGCAGATGCCTTGGTGGGTCAGCGGGCTGGGCCTGGTGCTGCACTTGCTCGCTCCAACAACTATTGGAGAATGGATTGACGCCGCGCCAAATCCAGCCCCCCTGACACGCTCCAGCATCCGCAGCGAACAAGTTTACATATCAGTCTTGAAATAACTGACCGAAATCTAGCGTGATTTGGCCCTGAACATTGAGTAGTTAAGCTGTTTGCGTTCAACAGGAGTGACAGATTCGTTTCTGCCGCAAATCTTCATCTACATAGACAGTGTTCTCATCGAAACAATTTAGCACAGGCGCTGACATGACCCTACACAATGGAATCGTATTGTCTAATCGATAGCTACATCCCGACAGGGACGAACTTTCGGCGATGGAATCCTCCGAACAGATAGACATTGAGCTAGCGTCTTGCTCATGATTTCGCGTTATCCCGCGATCCCAGCTCGCGATTGATTCGGCGCTGGATGTGCTCTCTGGTATTTCCGGTCCATCTGCTGGAGGTGGATCGTCACTAGTAGAGGGAGGTGGAGTGATCAATCTTGAGACGGGAGTGCGCAATATGGAAAGTTCCAGAATTGATCGAAGTGAGTACATCCTCGTCGCAATGTTTGATGGTTTTCCAATAGGTGAAGGCACGGCTGGAGGGAAGAGCACCTGAACGTATGAGATTAGCTTAGGTACATATAAGTGTGCAGACACAAACAATGTGGGCGGAGTTACTGGTAGAGTGGGTGCAGTTAACTCTGATAATGTGCCCTCCTCATTGCTGCGCCCCCTTCCAATGGCAATGTGAAGAGGCACGTCAATAAGAAAAGGTCGCTAGTAGGCCTGGCTCATATCATACTAACGAGCTTGGACTGAGCCTTTGAGTGCGCCGAAATTATTCTGCCGAAATGAATGACTGGAAAAATGAAAATGATGATTTGGAAAAATGAAAAATAAAAATCCGGCATGAGCTCAAATTTTTGCTGACAGGCGCATTACTGCGTGACAAGCATTTTTGCTACTTTTCCCCTGTTTTACAACACTATCTTGCAACCTCATTGGCAGAGAAGACTTGTAAGGTCAAACTGGCTAAGAGTATGAAAAATAGATTCATAAATGTTCCAGCAGACAGAATTAGTTAACCGTCGATCTTGTTTATCAGAATGGTGGATTGTTTCCTGAACCCTTACAGTTTCAGCTGTCCACAGAAACGGCGGAAAAGATTGAAGTCCCCGCTCTTGACTTTTTTGCACTTTTATTATTTCACACATGCCGAATAACTGGGAAAAAGTGAAATACCGGTACACACACGACTCCGCCCATTTTTCATAGACAGTCTCCGCGCTCATGCTCCTTCCTTGTACAAGTAGTCTAGCACTCAGTCTGCAATATTGTCTCACTTTCGCGGCTTCACAGAATGTAACGAAGGCGTTGCGAACCTCACAAGTGACACCGCTGAAGCCCGCTTCCCTATTTGCTCCCCCCTACCGGAACTTGAAGTCTATTTCCTGTACAAGTTTAGTTTTTACACCTCATTGTTTTGACTGTTAGATTTATTAGCATTGAACAGCGCTAGTTAGCCAGAGGAGGCTTTGTTGCCATAAAACGACAACCGAATAACTTGTATAGTGAGGATACCGGGCTGCCAATTTTTACTGCTCTTTTTTCCATGGAAAGCCACTTAGCGACTATAGGCCCGTTATTGAACGCTAATACCCACAATATGCATTCGCGAGGCTCGGAGGATCAGGCAGCACCCTCTCGTACGTAAATCGTGCCGATTTACAGGTCTTTATCTCGTATCTTGAGAAATTTATTGAATGAGACCGCTCT